AAAAATCAGAAATTCTATACCCTTTTTAATCCAACTAATCTTGTAGTGTTGGTTTTTTTTTGTAGTTTTAAGCTGTAGAGAATTAAGAACGGCACGTGATATGATGTCTCGATGCACCTGCTATCAATGAGAAGGTCATAGACTTTATCATTACTTGTGTAGCGAGTTTAGAATAAAGCATTGTGTTGGGAATTTATTAGTAGCCGAGATGGCAACAACAGATTTTCTAATACACATACCAATGACTCATCATATCACCTTGTAATTCTTTCACTTCTATTTCAGCTTCAACTTTAGCAGTTGTGTGTTCCTCATCTTGTTTAGCGTCTAGTAATTGCAGTTGCTACCTATTCGAACACTTGGTGAACTTTTGGCCATGCTGGAAATAGTGAAAACACTTCAAGGTTGTTGTTCATGCATGAGGATTTTCCTGTGCGGGAGAATTCATTTCGTTTTGCCCCTTCTAATAAGTTGAAAAGCTATTAGATCGCTATGTTTGGTTTTATTGTTATTTTGGAAATGAGAAAATGATCAAAATGATCCCTTGACTCTTTATGAATGACCAAAATGGTCGACAATTATATTAAATAATCATTTTAGCCTCTCAAGTCTATAAAAATGAATCAAAATAGTTCCATAATGAAATTATTTTGGTTCCTCTTGGTCCTTTAATATAGTTAGAGGTTATTTTAATTCCTTATAAAGAGTCAAGAGACCATTTTGGTCTTTTTCTCTTTTGATAATGCAACTACAAACTTCATATTATCAGTGTTAGTCTCACTTATAAATTTCTTTGTCGTATAGGGTTGTGTGTGTTGTTGTAATTGTAATTCAACTTTCAAGGAAAAATTAACCACTTGTGATAGTGATCAAATCGAGCTGAATTCTAATTTATTCTAAATTAAATATGCCAATGTAATGGGCAATGAGTTGATTCTCAGTTTTGTTGAGGTTGTTTCGAGCACAAAGACAGTAAAATTCTTCAGTATACGCGCTAGTGGATTGGGATCCATGTATGCATTGTTGGTATTGTAAGTTTAGCATATGTTCGAAGTCTGTTGGTAGGAAGTGTTCTCGTTCCAATTGCTTCTTATGGTTTCAATTCCTAACTTGACCCTTGCCTTCTCGTCGACTTGTTTGCAGTAGTTGCATCCGCCAAGCACTAGCTCCTCCCTTTAAATGACAAGCCATGAATTTCACCTATTTATTAGGTGCAATTTTCATGTAATCGAAGAACGTCTCCACATCCCTTTTCTACTCCAGGAATCTTCAATGTGTAGTCTCCCATCAAAAAATGGAATGTCTAGCTTTACGCGAAACTCGCCATGTCCTTAGTTTATCTTCAATGAAGCCTCTAAGTTTCATAATATCGAACAAGTTCTTCATTTGTTGACTCAGGTCCCTCTTAGTAATGGTTATCATTAAAATCATCCTCAGAATTAGATGAATCAGGCATAATGGTAGGTGGTCGCCGATAGATTTGCCAGTTCACCCTGCTCTGATTGGAGCCTTCAGTACGGGTGTGGTTGCCAAGTCTGGTTAACAGGCTATGGGATTTGTAGTGATCATCGTCTTGAGGTTAATTGGCTTGTTTCACATTTTAGTTGTGAAACAGGAGAATGTCGTTGTAAGCTCATCGAGCTACTTTGTGATGTCGGCTTGAGCAGCCCACATAGCTTCTATGCTCTAATCTTCATCAGGAGCGGTATGCCTATTTCATTATGCCTATTTCCATTTGCCATTCTGCTGCAGATCTGGCTTTGATACCAATCATGTGTAGATGCTTAAGGAAGAGCAATTCACAGTAAAATAATGGAACGGTACCGAATAGCAGAGAGTATATTCATCTATCTACTTCCTACTATCACTTGCTCATATATCTTTTAATACTGTAATATTATCTTTGGTTAAACATAAAAAAAGTAAACGAACTTTAAAAAAAAGTAGAATTTGACTATAATAAAAATAGTGGAGTCTGGAGAGGATTATTTTTGGTGGAATGTTCCACAACATTATGTGCACTGCATCAAGGTTGCTATACTTATCCAAGAGGATGCGTGTGATGTGTCACAACTAGCTTAGGGAGATCTAAGTGTTATCCTCAAAAGGCATTTAAGTAACTTGCTAGCCTTTATATGCCTTTGCCTATTCCCAATTCACCTATTAAAGATATAAGCATGAACTTTTTGTTGGGTTTACTTAGGATAGCGATAGGTTGTGACTTCATCTTTTAAACTAATATGTTCACTAGAATGTTCATTTCTTATTTTGATTAAAAGTGTTAGATTTTTCACATGTGACCCATCTATTCCTTAAGAAAATTGTTTGCCTACATGGGCTACTCATGTTGTGGTGATTGAGACATCTGGTTCGTGAATCATTTGAAAATAATTGATTGGCTGGTTGAAGTGGCTTATATCATTGGAAAAAAGTTTAGGCACTTAGGATTTGGTGTCTCCTATTAAATAAAATATTTATAATAGTTTCATCTCTTATACCATAAAATTTCTTTACAAATTGTTCATGGAATATCTTCTGGAAAGTCTATACATCTTAATAGAATTGCGGAAGGTGCATCTTTTTCATAATTTTTACATCTTTTTCATATTTTGTACATCTTTTGTTGAGCATACACACATACCTAATGTTTCCTAGTGTCATTGCAATCTTTATATTTAAATATATGTGCATTGTGGTATGGATTCTAAATAAGTTTAATGAATGAATAAATGTTGAGAATGATCACTTTTAATTTTTTTCTCCCTTAGCTGACCCAATTATGTTGCTCTCTCCCTTAGCCCACCCCCTTCTTGCTCTCTTGACTTCTTGCCCAAACAACCAAACCTCATCCATCTTCTGGAAGATCCTTATCTGTTCTTCAAACAAGGAGGGAAGTCACATTTCATCCTGATGGATTGACGACTGTTGAGCAGGTGGGCCCCACTAAGGTGGGCAGCGGGCAAGAGGAGAGAGGGGCTCAATGTGGAATAATTTCACCTCTAATTACTTACCATAGAAGACAAGAATTAAGAGGGAATTATGAAAGTTTATTTAAGGAAAGAGTGCTGATTTGAATTCAAATTTGGTAGAGAATTAGAGAAGTTTATTTAAGGAAAAAAAGATTGATTTGAATTCAGATTTTGGGAGGGAATAAAAAGCTTTATATTAGAGTCAATTGGATTATTTTAGGATTAGGAAATTATTTATGTTTTATGCAGTTTGTTTTGGAGTTATTCCTAACAATGCCTAGGGTTTGTGAGAGATGATCTACCTCTCGAATAGTAGATCAACTTGTATCTTGATTTATTGTGCTAAATTAACTATTTTTCTTGCCAATTTCTGCTGTGTTTTTTCTTTATTCTTGCTGTTTTCACTTTGTAGAGGTAAGATTCCTATCAAATTGGTATCATAGCACTTTTTTGGGACCTATGATGGCTAAGAAAGTGGATGCTTTGAAAGAGAAACTAGAAGGATAAGTTGACAAACGCACATATGAAGTTGAGGAACAGTTTTCTTGCACACGAATTAAATGTTAGGATAGTGGATCAAACAGCGAACTAGACACCATTTATCATCCATTGAGCTGACAGCCACAGTGAACGACATAACCTTACAAGTAAATCCAACAACAGTGAACCAACCAAATGCTAGCCATGAACCAAACCAAATAGTGAGCCAAATGGCTGAACCCAACCCAAACTATTACAAGGAACCGAACTGTATCAGCATAGATATTAGAAATGACAACTCGTCTGAAGTCGATTTGCTTTAGCAAGTGGAAGTAGCATTAGTAGGATAATAAATGCTTCTAACTTCAACCTCTCCACCAATCACCATATTTGTGCATAAGATCAGCTAATTGCAATTCCGCATAAGTAATTTTTAAGAAAGATAAATAATTTTTATGAAAGATAATACAATATTCTTTGTATCAGTAATTGTTTTTAACTTAGCCTATTATTTGAAAGATGTGAAATATACATCTTCTAAGCTTTGAATTGATTGGCGCATAGGTAAAATAATTACCTATTTATGAGTTGTTTAGTTAGCTGAAAAAGGAATGCATGTAAAAGGAATGAAATGGTGTTATTTGGATGAGTGTAAATAATTGTAGGTTAAGTATTTTTTTATTGTTTGGTTTGATGTAAAATGAATATATTGTAAAGTTTAAAGATGATGGCTGCGGCGGTATCGCAGTGTTTGGTGGTCAGCAGTGGTGGCCAACAACGAGTGATGACGTTGGTGGCCGGCGGTTCGCAGCAGTGGCTAGCGATTGGTGGTGGCAAGAAAGGTTGCTTGCGGTGAAATTTATTTTGGCTTAAAATTGGGCTAGTTTACTTTGCCTAAAAAATGAACTAAAATGCATTACACTGTATTCCTTTTACTTTATTGTGCATTCCTTTTTCATCCAACCAAATATTAATATTTTTAAAACTCATGTAAAAGGATTACTTTACACCTATATTACTTCAAACTAAATTTCCCCTTAAGCTTCTTGTATCTAATTGCTTATGCTAAAAGGTGGGTGTTCTAGCTTATATATAAAAACAAAAAAATGATATTAATTATTGTTTGAAGCACGAAGTTTAGGAATGGCATGCGTTAGGTGGAGGGTATTTTATGGGCAAGTAATATTTAGAAGAATAAGGGTTGGTGAAACTAAATTAAGAAATTTTTTGGGTTGATAAATTTATGTAGAATATCTCATTTTTGTATTCATAATATGTTTGCACCCTTTCCAAATGTGGTGCACAAACGGTCCCACATGTTCATGTGAATAAATTGTTTGATGTTAATCCATTTGTTGATTTGCATAATTGCATATTACTGCACTTTATTAAATGTTGATTTGTATAAATAAAAGCTATCAGATATACTTTGTTGATGGTATCTATGCAATTATGTTTACATATGTGATTGATTATCTTGTGCTATCGCTACATTATTTTTTTGGTTACTATTTAACATCGAACATTGAGGCCATATTTCTGTTGGCACAGGTCTTTCCCCTGATTATTGAGAAGTTTTCCTTTGACGAGCAAGCTGATCTGGTCTGGCAATTTTTGTGTAGCATCCCTGTGAACATGATGGCAGAGTTTCTCCCTTGGCTTTCATCTTGTATTTCACCTGATGAACATCAGGATATGTTAAAATGTCTTCGCAAGATAATTCCAGGACAGAAGCTTCTTCAAGAAGTAAAATTACCTGTTTAGCATTTAAACCTTCTCTTTAATCCGATGCCTATAATAACTATTGACACATCTAACTGAAAATTTTAGGTAGTATTTACTTGGATGGAAGGTAAATGCATCAAAGAGAAGAATCAGGCCCAAAACTCCATTGATGATTCCCACGTTGAAAAATATCTTGATGCTGAACCTTGTAAAGTTCTTGATCAAGCAGACGAACTATATTTTTCATGGGAGCATTCAAGAACTGGAAAGAGGAAACATGCGGAGCCAGATTACAGCTCTACTGGTTTTCTTGGGAGCCAACCAATAAATGAGATATTGCTCTGGCATAATGCTATTAAGCATGAGTTGAGTGATATAGCAGAAGAGGCAAGAAAGATCCAACTTTCTTCAGGTTTCCATGACTTGTCTAAGTTTGGTGAAAGACTGCAATTTATTGCTGACGTTTGCATCTTTCATAGGTTTGAGGCTTTTGTGTTTTCTTTTTATGCTGAATATCACACATTAGATATGTGATCATCTTGACTGAGAATCATATCATTGCTCATTTTAATGACTGTGCAACATATTCTTGTGTCACTTGGTAGTAATTGGTTTTAATTTTTTAGAGTAATATTTTTGTTCATAAATTCTTGCATGCGTTTTGTTAGTCCTGTCATTTGTTCAACGGTTGTAATTTTTTGATTGCCATATTTGAGTTGTTTTCTCAAATACAATGCTCATCTTATATAAACCAGTAAAAAGTAAAGGCCTGCATGAAGGCCAATAATTTTAGAATCGTGACATTTGACATGCCTTTTTTTACTAGAACATTGTTTGACTGCCTGGATGGACTAGTTAAGTTCTTCTCATCTCTTAACCTATTGGAAATTACTCAATGTTGGGTTTGTTATCATTGCTCGTTATACCTTTAGAGTCTCTGTGTGTGCATTGTTGGCTAATATAAAAAAAACATCAATGGATGGTGGTTTCTCAGTAAACCATGAAATAAATTCAAATTCAAGTACTTAAGCTATTGGTGTCTCTTCTTTGAGAGGTGGATTTCCTATTCCAGCTCCCACGTGTGTATTCCTGCATTACTTTGGTCTGGAATTGTTATTCTAGAGCCTCATCCTTGTAACCATGAGCTGGGTTTCCATTCCAGCTGGCACGCTCTTTCCCTGTTCCTCACCAAAGATGCAGCTCTCCTATGCCGCTGTCTGCTACTGCCCCAACTACTGTTAGATGGTTAATTGTTTTCATGTCTTCCTTTATAGAAGCATCAATTCCTAGCATCTATTCCTTCTATAATTATCCCCTAATGATGGCATTCATGTGCTCTATCCTTTGTAGAAAGAAGAAAATGCAACATATGTAATTTACTTTGTTTCTATTATAGTTCCTTTACTATTTTGGATATATATATATACAGCCTATAATCGAGGAAAAATGATATGAGAAAAATATTTCTAGCAAATTATATTTTGTTCGTGGTATCAAAACGAGATTTCGGACGATAAGCCAATATTCTGTAGAGATCATGACGTAGATCATAGCACATCATTAATGTGGTGATTGAGAAACTATCCTCCATGTGAAGAATGTCCTTCCCTAACGCCTGTTATGGATCAAACTTTCATCCCATGTATGAAGTTCAATCTCTCTAAATCACACATGACTCAACACAAGCTTAATGGAATTAATTATTATAAATAGTTTGAATTCGTCATACATTTGATAAGAGGAATATGGAATGATGGCTATATGATGGGAAAGTCATGATAACTATCCAAAGATGCATTGAATTACTATTCTTGGGAAGCAGAGAATTCTATTGTCATTGCTTGATTCATAAATTTCATGGAGCCAAAGATTATAAAAACTTCTCTCTTCTATAGAAAATATGTGATGCTATGCAAGAGTACTCTAATATAGAAAATGCAACCTAATATTTAAAATTAGATTTTCGACAAGATAAAAACATTCTCATTGAATATTCCGACTCCCTAATTGAAGTTTGGTAGGGAAATGGATTTGAGATCTCAACTCTGATTTAGATGAAGTTTTAGGAAGATTACTTAGAATGAAGCCCTTCCTTACAATGAGAACCCCTTTGTAGATATAAGAAGAGATGAAAGCTGAAAATGAAGAATGATGAGTCATGCACCAAACTCATTATATATCCAAAGTTCGATACTTGGTTGGCTCTACAACATTGGTCTCCTACAATAAATAAGAAGGTCGAACATCTCAAGAGAAAGAGGTGTGTTGTGAATACTATCACAAATCATATCACACCCGTGATCTGTACTAGAGATATATGAGAAACTCGAAAATTGTAAGTTTGAAATTCGAAGTAATGAATAAAAACATTCATCTTATAGAGACAAATCCGAGCTTGTCTTTTGGTTTTACATTTTAACACTCAACCAATTATTTGATCAACCTAAGATAGGATAAGAAAGAGAGACTCAAAAAGCAATGAAGTCTATAGTTTTTCTGGCTTAACAAAGTAATATAAGTTGTCCATTATTCTCAAAAATTGAAACATGCTGGACTATTGATGTAATGAATTTTAGATCTCATAGCAAGATCACCAAAAGAATTTGTAACATACATGATGATTGTTCACCCTATTGATGTGTGGGTGGCTATTGGTAAGAATCTTCAGCTATGGTACAAGGAACGTTTCGTGTATCGGTTTTGCTATTAAAGAATGTTCTCTATGCATGAATGTTAACTTAAAATTTATTATCTGTTAATAAGTTGACAAAAGATATGATATATAAAGTAACATATTTCTCCTACCATTGTAATTTAAAGGATTGTTACAGGCTAGAAAATTTGTGGCGATAGAAAGATAGTTTTATGTCTTAGCTTTGCATGAATGCCCAACACACAAATAGATAAATAAGTGAGATTAGATAACATTAGAGATTTTTACATGGAAAATCAGGAAAGGGAAAACCACGGGGCCTTGCCCAACTGAAAGGATTTCAATATGTATGTATAAATTATAAAGATTGGCTTATACCTTAAATGAAAGATGTAAAATTACAATAGTACGAAGAATTAATGTATGAATCAATCGATCTTGAGCTTGCTCGATTCGTCTCATCGGGCTGCTTGATTCGACTATAAGCATACCACTTTTGGAGATTATTTGTTTATTCAATTAAATTTCTAAAGCTTTTAACTCTGTTTGATTTGGGCTCATTTGGGTTTGGATTGGACCACTTCTGGTGTCATTGGATTTATGTTGTTGAGACGTTTAGTTCGAATATAAGTTTGTTGAAATCGGAGTTCGGAAGATCCTAAATTTAATTTTGAAAGTTTTAAATCAAATGTGCCTCGAGACTCATGCCTGATCAAGGTTATTTTTGGTGACGTATCAATGGCCAAACTTTAGAGAAAATGATTGAGCGTTGATGAAAGGAATGTGCTATGCTACCTTGTCCCCATCAATGCCCCCACCCCCGTTCAAAATCTTAATAGTAGTGTAAATCTTTCTGTCCTATGAAATTCCAATATTATATTATGACATTAGTATTTGGGACATCCAAGTTTTTTCTATCAAAAAATTGTATCCAAAATTATTTATTAATAAAGATAATATTTCCCTCAAGTGTGAAATATGTGTTCTTGCCGAACAAAGTTGAAGTAAAATTTTCATCGTGGCCATGCGAACCATCGAAATCCTTTCATCATATTCATAGTGACATTTAGGGACCTACTAGAACTACTAGTGCTACAAGAATCCAATGTTTCATAACTTTTATTGATGATCATACAATGGTATATTGAGTACAACAACAACAACAACAACAACATCAAGCCTTTATCCCACTACGTGGAGTCGGCTACATGAATCCTTTTTATCCATATACATGAGAGAAAAATCAAAATCCTATTATTTGTTTAAAAAATTTGATAACTTTATAAAAAATGTGTTTCAAACCTCTATCCAACTTATTTACATTGAAAATGGGAAATAATAATTTTCCATGAGTTTACTCAATATATAAATGGAAATGGTATACGCCATCAAAGCTCTTTTGTCGATACCCTTAGCAAATAGCCATTTATTGGCAAAATGATGAGATCTATCATATCCATAAACTCTATTTCAAACTCCTATTGGGGGGGGGGGGGGGGGGGGGGTTTTGGGGGGGGGGGGGGGGGGCGAGTTATTCTCACATATAGATATCTAATTAACCATCTACTATCCATGACACTTATTTTTTGAACTCCTACAAGTGTTCTTCATGATCAACATCCTCATTTTCAGTTATGATACTTTTGTACACAACATCACCTAACCAAATCAAAGCAAATTTGATCTAATGGCCGTGAAATGTGTATCTGTTGGATAATTCCCAACTAAAAGGATTATAAGTGCTACTCTTTATCCTTTGAAAAAGAATGTGTTTATCAATGTCACATTCTTTTAAGATAATCCGGTATACTCAAAACAAGGATGGAACAATGAAGCATATCACTGGGATTCCACAATCTCCCATCTATATCTCAAAATATGTATGACATCTACTGCTCTACCTTGGACTCATATAAATACTCCAATTCTCTTCTAAAACACCGAAGTACTAACCCCAGGGGAGACCCCATTTTGGAAAAAAATCATGATTGCACATTCAAGGAGACCGAGAGTCTATCAATAACGTCAATCATCAACTTTGAAAGATGATCTGGATGTAAGGTATCCAAGTGATAACCTTGATTTACCTATTACATTTAGGAAAGGGCCAATAAATTGTATTAAATTATCAATCATAAATTATTTATCTTGTTCTAAACCATCTCCTCACATCACATCAAGGCTTTTATAACTAAGATTGATGACATTGCAATACCTAGAAGTGTGTGGGGCACTTTAAAATCCAGAGTTGAAAAAGGCTATTTTTGAAGAAATGAGGGCCTTTGAGAAAAATGATAACTGGGATATTGTCAATTGTCTTGAGAAAAAAAAGTGTTTAGAAGTGAGTATTTATCATAAAATGTAAAGTTAATGGTGAAATTAACGAGTAGTTCAATGCTTCACTCAAATTTGTGAGAGAGATAATGAGGAGACATTTGCTCCAATTTAAAAAATGAATATTATTCGGGTCTTATCATCCTTAGTAGTAAGCTTAAATTGGGAGCTTTATCAACTCGACATAAAAATTCTTTCTTGCATGCCATACTTGAAGAAAAGTGTACATGAAGGTTCATCTAGGATTTCAATTAGAAAAAGGAAAAGTTTGTTTGTTTAAAAAAATTTCTCTATGGTCTAAAATAATCACCACAAGCATGGTTCATGGGATAGTTCTACCCCCACTGAGTTGGGGAACAAGGAAAGGATGATGACATCGTTTTCTTTTTTCAAATTTGGAGAAGGGGAGAATTCAATTCTAATGTGTATTTAGATGATATTGTAATTACAAGTGCTAATATCTAATAAATAAATAAATAAAAGGGGGAATTGAAGAAGGAATTTCAGGTTAAAGAATGGGGCAAACTTAAATATTTCCTTGAAATAGAAGTTAATAAAAATAAGAATGATATTTTTATGTCCTAAAGGAACACTGATCTGTTCAAAGAAAATGAAAGATTAGGATGCACGCTTATGGTTGCTCCACTTAGAAAAGATTATAAGAAGTGAGGGAAGGATCATGAACCAACAAATGTTAAAGAATGATATTAGTGGTTGGTAGAAAGAGTCATTTATCTATCACGAACTAGATCAGAATTGCATATGTAGTGAGCTTTGCATGTCATTTAATATATTCTCCAACTCCAAGGCACTTAGATTCTATGAATTATCTATATTGAAATATTTTAAAGGAAGTCCATAAAGGGATTTGTTGTGCTACAAAATCATAAAAGTAATATAGAAGGATATACTAACTCAAATTGGTAGTAGGTGAGGATAACAAAGCCATCTTAAGATTTTGCACAAAATTATGGGGAAATTTTCTTACTTGGAGGAGTAAAAAAACAGACTGTGGTGGTTAGAAGCAGTCTTGAAGTAGAATCTCGTTCTATTGCACATGAATCTATCTAATTTTCTGGTTAGAAAGATTGATAGAGGATTAGCAAACAATACATCACGAGATTTGTAACCATAAATCAGTAATCAATATTGTGAACGATTTTGTTCAATATGACAGACTGAAATGTGCCGGAATTGATCATTCATTTATAGAAAGAGTGATTGAATAGAGTGATATGTTATATTTATACTATTTCACAACAAGCTGATGTTCTCACAAAAATCTTTAGCAAAGGAGCTTTAGAAGATATGTTGAACAAGTTAGGAATGATAAATTTCTATTCTTAGACTTGAGGGGAGTGTTGATAAATATAAAATAATATTAATGGCTGGCAGTTTCTCATTAATCCAGGAAATAAATTCAAATTCAAACACTTGAGCTATTGGCGCCTTCTCACGGAGAGCTAGATTTCCTACTCGAGCTCCCACGTGTATTCCTAAATTATCTTGGGCTGAAATTGCTATTCTAGTGCCCCATCCTCCTCACCGTGATCTGTGTTTCCATTCCAGCTCCTTCATGCTTTCTTTGGTCCCCACTACAGCACAGCTTGCTATTCTTCTACTGGTCTGTAGTCCCAGCTTGTGTTACATGGCTAGTTGTTTCAATTTTTTCCTTCCATGCATCAATTCTTACTATCTATTTCCTTCTGTAATTATATCCTAATAATGAGATATATACATTACATATACTGTTTTTTGAAAGAAGGAAATACAGCACATATAATTTAAGTAGTTTCTATTAAATTTACTTTACCGTTGGGGATTTAAATCTGTATGGTTGCTTTTAATTCTGAAGGAATGATATGAGAAGTTCTTTTCTCAAAATAAATTTTTGAATGCGTCCATGTAATTTGAACATAATGTACCCGCCACAGCGATAGCATGGTTGTTTTCTGATTTTAGCAATATAACTAATGAATGAACTGGACAGATACACTCATTTTCATCTTATCTATTAATTCTTCAGGTCTGTTTTAATTTCATGTCTATGGACTTGACACACTCAGAGTCAGCTTTCAGTTCATCAAACCGAGTTTCTTTTATATTTATTAAAAGAGTAACTTGGTGGAGCATCATCCGTTGAACAGAACTCATTTCAGTTGTGAATTGAAAAAAAAAACACCAGCTAAATAAATATTTGTTAGTTCTTTGTTCCTTGCTGACTTACAATTTGAATGGTTAGCATATGATTTGAAATGGATGAAAAATAGTTTTTAATGAAATTTTGTTAATTAAGTGTAGGTAGCCTATAGTCGGTTTTCATTGTGTATTAAGGTGACTATAGTCGGTTTTCATTGTGTATGGTTTCTAACTTAAAACTAGACTTGGTTTGATTAATGAATTGGGCAAGATCCAAACGTGTAGGATTTTGATGACAACTATATACCTAACAACTCTCTAGACCTAACATTTAATTCATATAGAGATCCCCAAATTTGACATTTTTTTAATCTATTTAAATGAGATTTGACTCTTAATAGGAGCAATGGAGAAAAATGATTGATAAAGGCTTCTTCTTGTTGTTGTTCTTATTGTAGAGATCCTCAAATAGTTCAACATGGGTGGTGATGCTAATAAATATTTATTCCTTGCAGCATAGCTGAAGATCAAGTTATCTTTCCAGCAGTTGATGGAGAAGTGTCTTTTATACAGGAGCATGCAGAAGAGGAAAGCCAATTTAACAAAATCAGGCTTTTGATTGAAAAAATCAAAAGTACAGGAACAAATTCGAGCACTGCTGACTTCTATTTGAAGTTATGTTCATATGCAGATCAGATGATGGAAGCCATCCAGAAGCATTTCGTTAATGAAGAAGTTGAGGTATGTGCAGCTCTTGCCTGTGTTAACTGGGGTTTGTTGAGTAAATGGAGCTGCTGTCTTTAGCTTATCTCGTTATTCTAGGTTCTTCCCCTTGCCAGGATGCATTTCTCTCCAGACAAGCAGCGTGAGCTACTGTATAAGAGTTTATGTGTGATGCCTTTGAGATTATTAGAACGTGCTTTACCCTGGTTGGTTTCCATGCTTACTCATGAGCAGGCAAAGTCTTTCCTCCACAATATACATTTGGCAGGTTGCTGAGCGTCTTTTTTTAATTTCTTAGCTTCTTACTTTTTTCATAGTTTTTTAAGAGGTATCTTACTCATATCTTTTTTTTTTTTTTTTTCTCATTTTTTTTTTTTTTTTTTTTTTTGCAGCTCCACCATCCGACACTGCATTGGTGACTCTTTTCTCCGGTTGGGCATGTAAAGGTCGGACTAGGGATATCTCTAGCCCTGGCAAATTTATATGCTTGTCTTCAGAGGCAACTGGTTGCTTCTTGTCAGAAAGGAAGGATATAGAATCAGATTTTAGTCTGGGAAGTTGTAAATGTGCCTGCTCACATAGAAACCTACTTCTATCACATTCACAACATGAACAGATGGCGAGTCAAAGAAGTCCATTGAAGCGACATGATGCCGGCAGATCATCCCCAAATGCCTCTGATAGTTGTCATACAGGCAAAATGGAGGCTAATGATTTGTGCAGTACTACTTGTTGTGTACCTGGGTTAGGCGTTGATTGCAGTAACTTAAGACTTAGTTCCCTGGCTACTGGGAAATCACTGCGATCATTGTCTTACAATTCAACTGTCCCTTCTCTTAATTCTAGTCTTTTCCTCTGGGAAACTGACACATTGTCATCCAATATGGATTGTTCGATCAGACCGATTGATAATATTTTCAAATTTCATAAAGCAATTCAAAAGGATTTAGAGTATCTGGATGTTGAATCTGGAAAGATTATAGATTGTGATGAGACTTTTCTGCGTCAGTTCAGTGGAAGATTTCGTTTACTTTGGGGTCTGTACAGAGCTCATAGTAATGCTGAGGATGACATTGTTTTCCCTGCATTAGAGTCAAGAGAGACTCTTCACAATGTCAGCCATTCATACACTCTTGATCACAAGCAGGAGGAGAAGCTATTCAAAGATATATCTGAAATTCTTTCAGAGCTTTCAGAGTTGCATGATAGCGTGACCCGTACAGATGCCATACCTGAGGAAGGAATTGTCTGTAATTCATCTTGTCATGAGACGAGCTGGAAAAGAAAGCATAATGAACTTGCTACAAAACTTCAGGGAATGTGTAAATCTATACGAGTTACACTGGACCAGCATGTTTTCATGGAAGAGCTCGAGTTATGGCCTCTATTTGACAAGCATTTTTCAGTTGAGGAGCAAGATAAGATTGTTGGTCGAATTATTGGAACAACCGGGGCAGAGGTCCTCCAGTCAATGTTGCCATGGGTTACCTCTGCACTCACCCAGGAGGAGCAGAATATGATGATGGATACTTGGAGGAAGGCAACCAAAAATACTATGTTCAATGAGTGGTTAAATGAGTGGTGGAATGTTGCTCCAAATTGTGCTCAGGCTTCAGTAGATCATGGTGCTCTTCCAAATGATCCAAATTGTCGTTCTATATTTTTAATTGTTTAAGGTCCTTTACTTTATATGGGTAACATTCTTTTTTGGCCTCTTAGGGACTGTTTATCACGAAAGTCTTGACAAAAGTGACCGTATGTTCAAGCCTGGATGGAAAGATATTTTTAGAATGAATCAAAATGAGCTAGAGGCTGAAGTACGGAAGGTTTCTCGAGACCCAACCCTTGATCCACGAAGAAAAGCGTATCTTATTCAAAATCTTATGACCAGGTTGATTTCTGCTTAATTGGATTATCAGTTTCATGTTTAAGGTTCTCAATTTCTTCTTGTTCCATTACTATTTGTTTGATTTCTATTGTAGCCGCTGGATAGCTGCTCAACAAAAGTTAACTCAAAATAAAACTGAAGACAATGATGGTAAAGATATTCGGGGTTGTTCTCCGTCATTCCGGGATCCAGAGAAGTTAATATATGGATGTGAGCACTACAAAAGAAACTGCAAGCTTCTGTCTGCCTGTTGTGGCAAGTTGTTCACATGTCGGTTCTGCCATGACAAAGTCAGTGATCATTCGATAGATAGGTAGTCCTTTTTTTCTACCACTATAAGGCTTTAATTTTTTGGTCGTACTTTAATATGATTTTACTTGCATCAACCTAAACCATTTTTTGATTCTAGAAATCGCTAGTACATAGAACACCAAATATATGAGAATTCTGAGCTTCATAGCAGAGCTCTTTACATTTGAGTTAATTTTTTGGTTGGCCTGCAATGTTCGAATTCCATGCAATGCCTCAAATCAAACTTTCCACTTCCCCTAAAAAAAAAACTTGCTACTTCCCCTCTTTATTTAGATTGGAGACCAACAATGGACTCCATGCCTTTCCTCCAAACCCCACCCTCCTAGCATTATAAAATGTAAGTATAAACATGTTGAATAATGCATTAAAGGAACAACAACAACAACAACAACAGCAACAACAACAAGCCTTTATCCCACTATGTGGGGTTGGCTACATGAATTCTTTTTCTTCATTGTGTCCTGTTAAGGGTCAAATTCTCATTTAAATCTAATAAAAAATGTCATTTCTAATATTTTTTCAAACCAAGTATTTTTAGGTCTATCTCTGCCTTTCTTAATATAAGTCAAATATATTCCATCTACTTTCCTAACCGGGTGATCGAAAGGCCACCGTTTTATGTGACCAAACCATCTTAGGCGGCCTCTCTAATTTTATCTTTCATGGTGCTACTCCAACTTTTTCATTTATATGCTCATTTCGTATCCTATCTTTAAGAATAAAGCCACTCATCTACCTGAGCATCCTCATCTCTGCAACACTTAACTTAATATTATGCTTTTCTTTTAATGGCTAACATTCTGCACCATAAATCATTGCAGGTCTCACTACCATCTTATAAAATTTTCCCTTAAGTTTGAGAGACTTTTTTTTTTCACATAACAAGCCCGATGCATTCCTCATCTATTTCACCATCCTATTTGAATTATACTAATATTATCCCCATCTATTTCACAATCACTCTAAACAATAGACCCAATATATATAAAATGTGTGCTCATATTAATGAAGTGATTGCCCAAAGTCACAATCCCCCACTAGATCTATTATCACTAAAATTACACTCCATATACTCAAGTTTAGATCTACTCAAATGAAAGCCTTTAAAATCTAAGGTTGGCCTCCGTAATTCAAGTTTACCTTCAACACCCTCTCAACAAGAAGAATATCATCAGCAAAAAGCATACACTAGGGTACAACCTCTTGCAAATGTCTAGTGAGTACATCCATGACTAAAGCAAAAAAATTTAGGCTTAAGACTGATCCTTATTGTAATCCAACAACAACAACAACAACAACAACAACATCAAGCCTTTATCCCACTACGTGGGGTCGGTGTTCTACATAAATCCTTTTTCTCCATTGTGTCCTATTAAAAGTCAAATTCTTGTTTAAATCTAATAAAGAAAGGTCATTCCTAATATTTTCTAACCAAGTCTTTTTAGGTCTACCCATACCTTTCTTAACACAAGTCAAATCTAATACCTCTACTCTCCTAACCGGGTCATTGGAAGGCCGCCTTTTTATGTGACCAAACCATCTAAGGCGACTCTCTCTAATCTTATCTTCTACTGGAGCTACTCCAACCTTTTCAAGTATATGCTCATTTCGTATCCTATATCTAAGGGTAAAGCCACTCATCCACCCGAGCATCCTCATCTCTGCCACACTTAACGTAGTATTATGCTTCTCTTTTAATGGCCAACATTCGGCACCAGAAAGCATTGCAGGCCTCATTACCATCTTATAGAATTTTCCCTTAAGTTTGAGGGGTACATTTTTTTCACATAACAAGCCAGATGCATTCCTCCACTTCAACCATCCAACTTGAATTCTGCTAATAATATTCCCATCTATTTCACCATCACTCTGAACAATAGATACAAGATATCTAAAACGTGTACTCTTACTAATGACTTGATCGCCCAAAGTAACAATCCCCTCCACTAGGTCTATTACTACTAAAATTACACTCCATATATTCCGTTTTAGATCTACTCAAGTGAAAACCTTTAGACTCTAAGGTGACCTCCATAATTCAAGTTTACCTTCAACTCCCTCTCTAGTCTTATCAACAAGAAGAATATCATCAGCAAAAAGCATACACCAAGGTACATCCTCTTACAAATGTCTAGTGAGAACATCCATGACTAAAGCAAAAAGATATGTGCTAAGGCCTGATCCTTGAATGTAACCCAACCGAAATAGGAAATACTTGGTCAAACCACCTTGTGTTTGAACACAAGTAATAACTACTGCATACAATCTTAATGATTTGAATATAAGCATTATTGACTCCTTTCTTTTCAAGAACTCTTCATAGCACTTCTCTTGGAACTCTTATCATATGAATTTTTCTAAATCAATAAATATCATATGTAGATCCTCCTTATTTTCTCGTATATTTCTCTATCAAACCTCTTAATAAATGTATGGCTTCCATAGTCGACCTACCCGGCATGAATCCAAATTGATTTTGAGAAACATTAGTATCACGCTGCAACCTATGCTCCATAACTCGCTCCCATAGTTTTAAAGTATGACACATTAACTTAATACCTCTATAATTTGTACAATCTTGTGCATCACCTTTATTCTTAAAAATAGGAATTAACACACTCATTCTCCACTCATCTGACATCTTTTTAGTCTTCAAAATAGTATTAAAAAGTTTAGTAAGCCAAGAAATTCTATAATGGCTTCCATAGTTGTAATCCAGCTGAAATAGGAAAATACTTGGTCAAACCACCTTGTGTTTGAATACAAGTATCAGCTCCTGCATACATATCCTTAATGACATGAATATAAGCATTATTAACCCATTTCTTATGTAGAACTCTCCATACTACTCATGGAACTTTATCATATGCTTTCTCTAAATCAATAAAAATCATATGTAGATCCTCATTATTCTCTCTATACTTCTCTATCAAACCTCTCAATAAACGTATAGCTTTTATAGTAGACCTACCTGACATGAATCCAAATTGATTTTGAGAAACATTAGTGTCATGCCGCAATTTATGTTCCATAACTCTCTCCCATAGTTTTAAAGTATGACACATTAACTTAATTCCTCTATAATTCACATAATCTTGTGCATCTCTTTCATTCTTAAAAATAGGAATGAACACACTTATTTTCCACACATCTGACATCTTTTTAGTCTTTAAAATAATGTTAAAAAGTTTAGTAAGCTCTCATAAGCATTTTCACACTTCTATTGGAATATGATAAGGTCCAACAACTTTTTCATACATTGTTTTCTTTAAAGCCTCTTTAACTTGGGTTTTACTAATATGCCGATAAAAATAAAATTTTTTATTTTTATTTAGGTTACTATGGTCACTAAAGTAAATTGCATTTTCATAATCTTCTTTAAAAAGTTTTTACTTTAGTGACCATCCACCTTTCTTAAATATCTCATCCACCTTTCTTAAATATCCTTTTATGAGAAAAGCACATTTTAATCTTCATTCTTAATATACTCCACTTGAACTAAATTCTTACTACTATCTCTTTGTTTAGCCAACTTATACATATATCTTTTGCCATCCTTAGTATCTAATACATTATATAAATCATTAAAAGCTAATATCCTTGCATTGCAAATTAATTTCTTAGACTACTTACGGGTCTGTTTATATCTTTCCCAATTATCAGAGTTTTTATAGCTAAACCAATTTTTAAATTAAATCTTCTTATTTTTTATCTTTTCTTGCACATTTTGATTCCACCACCATCTAGTTTTACTATTAGTAGCTTTTCCCTTTGATACTCCAAGTACATTTTTTGCAACATTCTTAATATCACTAGACATTAGATTCCTCATGCACAAGCAAAATCTTAAGATCTAGAATCTTACTTTCAAAAATATTTTTGTTAATATTTTTAAAATGCCCCAATCTAATACTAGAACAACGATTTACTTTATTTTTAATATTTTGCCTCTTTATCTTAAAGTCTAAAACTAATAAGCTATATTGAGTACATAAAATTTCACTCGGAATGACTTTACAATCTTTGCAATTTAAACGATATATTTTTTTTATTAGAAAACAATCAATCTGAGTTTTGCTATATCCTTTTCTTAACACTGTTGTTGTCAGGTCCCAATTCCTGGATGAGAAATGTGGATGATTGTGTTAGGTAGTTGATTGCCAGTGTAAAATTTGTCGAATAATTATGCAATAATTAGCAAAAAAAAAAAAAGGTAAAAAAACAAGGTGGGGTGGGGGGTGGGGATGGCTGGTGTTCACGGTTCATTCAACAAAAAGGAAGCAAGGGTCCACGGATCATACATTAGAAAAGGAAAATGAAAGGCTACAGATTCAAGGGCTGGTGACAGTTATCCATGTATGGTTTTAGCAGATAAGGAAAGCAAACAAGCACACGGATTAAATAAGGAAGGCTGCTTTCTATGATTCCTGCAGTCGATATCCATGAATTGTTTTTTTGTTATTGTAATTAATACTCTCTTTTGACTTGTATAAAATCTTAATATAATTTAGGCAGCTCTATGTATAAATATCCCTTGACTATATGATAAACAAACCAAGCTTCCTTGCCATTTCACCATTCTTTATTTGGTATTAGAGATCTTGGTTAGATTACCCTTTTTTCTCAATGTTATTCCCTCATTCTTGTTTTCTTTATTCTCCATGTCTGGGAGTTTTGATTTGTATTGAAAGCCAACTATTATGGATGGTGATAATCAGATCAGTCCAATTAAAGGATAATTCCAAGGATTGCAAGCTCAAATTGTTTGAATGTAGAAAATTATTTAAAATGTTCATATTGTGAAAACCTTTTAGAAGGGAAATGGGAAATTTCACATCCTTATTGATCCACCTCAGATCCTGAAGACCCGAAGCTCACACTTTGAGATGAGTAAGATTCATGGTCATATCATAGCCATGGAACTCCATCATGTCTGATGTTAGTGGACTTTACATGTTCCTCACAATAACCAATTAAGTCTGGGAAGCTATTAAACAGGCA